AAGCTGGCCCATTCCTGCTGAAAGAGCTGGTGTAACTGAATCAGGTTTGTAGGCCTCCTTGCTCACACACGCTTTTTCAGTTCTGCCCACAAATGTTCTATAGGATTGAGGTCAGGGCTTTGTGATGGCCACTCCAATTCCTTGACTTTGTTGTCCTTAAGCCATTTTGCCACAACTTTGGAAGAATGCTTGGGGTCATTGTCCATTTGGAAGACCCATTTGCGACCAAGCTTTAACTTCCTGACTGATGTCTTGAGATGTTGCTTCAATATATCCACATCATTTTCCTTCCTCATGATGCCATCTATTTTGTGAAGTGCACCAGTCCCTCCTGCAGCAAAGCACCCCCACAGCATGATGCTGCCACCCCCTGTTCTTCACGGTTGGGATGGTGTTCTTCGGCTTGCAAGTAACCCCCCTTTTCCTCCAAACATAACAATGGTCATTATGGCCAAACAGTTCTATTTTTGTCTCATCAGACCAGAGGACATTTCTCCATGTCCCCATGTGCAGTTGCAAACCGTAGTCTGGCTTTTTTATGGCGGTTTTGGAGCAGTGGCTTCTTCCTTGCTGAGCGGCTGTCACGATCGTCGTAAGAGACGGACCAAGGCGCAGCGTGAAATGCGTACATCTTTTAATGAGTACTTATTAACACTAAAACAAAACGATACGTGAAGTCCTAAGGTTAACAAAACACAAACCTCTCCGGAACAAGATCCCACAAATGACAAGTGCACAACAGGCTGCCTAAGTATGGTTCCCAATCAGAGACAACAAGACACAGCTGCCTCCGAATGGGAACCACCCCGGCCAACACAGAAACACACGATCTAGAAAAGAACACATAGAAAACAAAACATAGACACTACACATAGAAACTAACACCCTGGCTCAACATATAAGAGTCCCCAGAGCTAGGGCGTGACAGTACCCTCCCCCAAAGGCGCGGACAGCGACCGCGCCAACTAAACCCAACAGGGGAGGGGCCGGATGGGCATTCCGCCTCGGAGCCGGGCGTGACCACCACTCTCTAACTACCCCCCCGTAGCGCCCCTGGTCTGGTCCCGCTGGCTGGAGCTGGACTGGACATCGGTGGAGCGAATTGCTTAGGCTCCGGTGTGGAGCAGCTGACCGGTAGCTGACCAGGCACCGGTGGAACAGGCACGGGCTGTGCCGGACTGACGACGCGCACCACTGGCTTGATGCGGGGAGCAGGAACCGGCCGGACCGGGCTGGCAACGCGCACCACTGGCTTGGTGCGGGGAGCAGGAACGGGCCGGACCGGGCTGACGACGCGCACCACTGGCTTGGTTGCGGGGAGCAGGAACGGGCCGGACCGGGCTGACGACGCGCACCACTGGCTTGGTGCGGGGAGCAGGAACAGGCCGGACCGGGCTGACGACGCGCACCCACAGCTTGGTGCGGGGAGCAAGAACAGGGCCGGGCCGGGCTGGCGACGCGCACCACAGTCTTGGTGCGAGGGACAGGAACAGGCCGGGCCGGGCCGGGCTGGCGACTTGCACCACAGGCTTGGTGCGAGGGGCAGGAACATGCCGGGCCGGGCTGGGCGACGCGCACCACTGGCTTGGTGCGGGGAGCCGGAACGGACCGGGCTGGACTGGGAACACGCATCATAGGCTTGGTGCGGGGAGCAGGAACGGGCCGGGCCGGGCTGGCGACGCGCACCCCAGGCTTGGTGCGAGGGGCAGGAACAGGCCGGGCCGGGCTGGCGACGCGCATCACAGGCTTGGTGCGAGGGACAGGAACAGGCCGGACCGTACTGGGAACACACACCACTGGCCTTGTGCGGGGATCAGGAACGGGCCGGACCGGACTGGTAACACACCCCAGTACCTCTCGCCGTGCCTCTACACTCTCCTTCCCTCTAATGACCAATGGCCCCCGTAACCTGGTGGCCTTCTCTCCTAGTCCACAATCTCGCCCTGTAGCTGCCTTCAGCAGCCCCGTCGTCCATGCCGTGTGCCCCCCCCCAAAAAATGATTGGGGTTGCCTCTCGCCTGTCCGACGACGGCCCGGTTGGCGCCGCTTCTCCTCTCCTGCCTGGGTCTCCCCCTTCATCGCCCTCCGGTAACGGACGGCCTCCTCCTCCGTTATCCTCCCCCAACCGAGGAGGACATCTACCAACGTTACCTCCGGCGTTTGCTCCTGGAAACGCTGCTTGGTCCTGTTTTGGTGGGATCTTCTGTCACGGAGAGGTTTGTGTTTTGTTAACCTTAGGACTTCACGTATCGTTTTGTTGTTTTGTATTAGTGTTAATAAGTACTCATTAAAATATGTACGCATATCACGCTGCGCCTTGGTCCGTCTCTTACGACGATCGTGACAGAAGATCCCACCAAAACAGGACCAAGCAGCGTGTTCAGGAACAAACGCCGGGTAAGGAACAGGAGGTTACTCTAGTGGATGTCCTCCTCGGTTGGGGGAAGATCACCGAGGAGGAGGCCGTCCGCTACCGGAGGGCGATGAGGGAGGATGCCCAAGAGGAGAGGAGAAGCGGCGCCAACCGGGTCGTCGTCGGACAGGCGAGAGGCAACCCCAATACATTTTTTGGGGGGGGCACACGGCATGGACGACGGGGCTGCTGGAGGCAGCTACAGGGCGAGTTTGTGGACTAGGAGAGGAGGCCACCAGGTTACGGGGGCCATTGGTCAGGAGGGGGAAGGAGAGTGTAGAGGCACGGCGAGAGGTACTGGGGTGTGTTACCAGTCCGGTCCGGCCCGTTCCTGATCCCCGCACAAGGCCAGTGGTGTGTGTCCCCAGTACAGTCCGGCCTGTTCCTGTCCCTCGCACCAATCCTGTGGTGCGCGTCGCCAGCCCGGTCCGGCCCGTTCCTGCTGCCCGCACCAAGGCAGTGGTGCGCGTCGCCAGCCCGGCCCGGCCTGTTCCTGCCCCTCGCACCAAGCCTGTGGTGCGCGTCACCAGCCCGGCCCGGCCTGTTCCTGCCCCTCGCACCAAGCCTGTGGTGCGCGTCGCCAGCCCGGTCCGGCCTGTTCCTGCTCCCCGCACCAAGCCTGTGGTGCGCGTCGCCAGCCCGGCCCGGCCTGTTCCTGCTCCCCGCACCAAGCCTGTGGTGCGCGTCGCCAGCCCGGTCCGGCCTGTTCCTGCTCCCCGCACCAATCCAGTGGTGCACGTCGTCAGCCCGGTCCGGCCCGTTCCTGCTCCCCGCACCAAGCCAGTGGTGCGCGTCGTCAGCCCGGTCCGGCCCGTTCCTGCTCCCCGCACCAAGCCAGTGGTGCGCGTCGCCAGCCCGGTCCGGCCTGTTCCTGCTCCCCGCACCAAGCCAGTGGTGCACGTCGTCAGTCCGGCACAGCCCGTGCCTGTTCCACCGGTGCCTGGTCAGGTACCGGTCAGCTGCTCCACACCAGAGTCTGAGCAATCCGCTCCACCGGTGTCCAGTCCAGCTCCGGCCAGCGGGGCCAGACTAGACCAGGGGCGCTACGGGGGGGGGTAGCGAGAGAGTGGTGGTCACGCCCGGAGCCGGATCCGCCTCCGAGGCGGAATGCCCACCCGGCCCCTCCCCTGTTGGGTTTAGTTGGCGCGGTCGCAGTCCGCGCCTTTGGGGGGGGGGTACTGTCACGCCCTGGCTCTGGGGACTCTTTAATGTTGAGCCAGGTGTTTCTGTTCTAGTTCGTTGTATTTCTATGTTGGCCAGGGTGGTTCCCAATCAGAGACAGCTGTAGCTCGTTGTCTCTGATTGGGGACCATACTTAGGCAGCCTGTTGGCACTATAGTTTTGTGGGATCTTGTTCCGGAGAGGTTTGTGTTTTGTTAACCTTAGGACTTCACGTATCGTTTTGTTGTTTTGTTGTAGTGTATAAGTACTCATTAAAAGATGTATGCATATCACGCTGCGCCTTGGTCCGGTTCTTACGACGATCGTGACAGCGGCCTTTCAGGTTATGTCGGTATAGGACTCGTTTTACTGTGGATATAGATACTTTTGTACCTGTTTCCTCCAGCATCTTCACAAGGTCCTTTGCTGTTGTTCTGGGATTGATTTGCACTTTTCGCACCAAAGTACGTTCATCTCTAGGAGACAGAACACGTCTCCTTCCTGAGCGGTATGACGGCTGCGTGGTCCCATGGTGTTTATACTTGCGTACTATTGTTTGTGCAGATGAACGTGGTACCTTCAGACGTTTGGAAATTGCTCCCAAGGATGAACCAGTCTTGTGGAGGTCTACAATTATTTTTCTGAGGTCTTGGCTGATTTATTTTGATTTTCCCATGATGTCAAGCAAAGAGGCACGGAGTTTGAAGGTAGGCCTTGAAATACATCCACAGGTACACCTCCAATTGACTCAAATGATGTCAATTAGCCTATCAGAAGCTTCTAAAGCCATGACATCATTTTCTGGAATTTTCCAAGCTGTTTAAAAGTACAGTCAACTTAGGGTATGTAAACTTCTGACCCACTGGAATTGTGATACAGTGAATTATATGTGAAATAATCTGTTTGTAATCAATTGTTGGAAAAATTACTTGTGTCATGCACAAAGTATATGTCCTAACCGACTTGCCAAAACTATAGTTTGTTAACAAGAAATATGTGGAGTGGTTGAAAAACAAGTTTTAATGACTCCAACCTAAGTGTATGTAAACTTCTGACTTCAACTGTACATTTGTTCTGATTATTTTGTTCCACATTTGAAGGGCATTCCTTTTCCTCCCTATCTTCTGGTCTCGTACATCTGTTTATGTGGTCATTACTTTTCAGTCTCTCTTTTATTATGACTTTTATTTAACTATTTATCGAATAACGCGTGAGCAGATTTCCAGATGTGTGTTTTGAATATGGTGGTCAACAGTGTGTTTTTCAAGCATTTCCTCATCTGTAATTACACAACAGTGACACTTTGCTTATACATTTCTACTGTTCTACTGTTCTACTGTTCTACAGTTCTACTGTTCTACTGTTCTACTGTTCTACTCTCTACACTACCTATTACTGACTGTGATGTCTCTCTCCCCATGCAGTACACAGCGAGGATGTGGGCTCTACCAGGCTGTACTTTGTGAACGCGTCCCTCCAGAGGCTGACCTACTCCAGCTCGGTGGGGGTGTCTCTGCCCTGTCCGGCGGGCGGCACCCCCACCGCCATCCTGCGCTGGTACCTGGCCACCGGCGATGACATCTACGATGTGCCCCACATCCGCCACGTCCATGCCAATGGCACCCTCCAGCTGTACCCCTTCTCGCCCTCCGCCTTCAACTCCTACATCCACGACAACGACTACTTCTGCACCGCAGAGAACCAGGCTGGCAAGATCCGCAGCCCCAACATCAGAGTCAAAGCTGGTGAGGAGGGGGGGGGGGGGGGGGGACAGAAGGAACTGATGCTAAGAGGGGAGTGATAGAGGTTAGAGCAGGGTTCCCCAACTGGCGGCCCATGGGCCGAATTTGTCCCCCGGGTGGTTTTATTTGGCCCTCCCAGTTTTCTGAGCAAAACATGTATATACACTACCGGTCAAAAGTTTTACAACACCTACTCATTCAAGGGTTTTTCTTTATTTTTACTATTTTCTACATTGTAGAATAATAGTGAAGACTTCAGAACTATGAAATAACACATATGGAATCATGTAGTAACCAAAAAAGTGTTAACAAATCAAAATATATTTTATATTTGAGATTCTTCAAAGTAGCCACCCTTTGCCTTGATGACAGCTTTGCACACTCTTGGCATTCTCTCAACCAGCTTCATGAGGTAGTCACCTGGAATGCATTTCAATTAACAGGTGTGCCTTCTGAAAAGTTAATTTGTGGATTTTCTTTCCTTCTTAATGTGTTTGAGCCAATCAGTTGTGTTGTGACAAGGTATACAGAAGATAGCCCTATTTGGTAAAAGACCAAGTCCATATTATGGCAAGAACAGCTCAAATAAGCAAAGAGAAACGACAGTCCATCATTACTTTAAGACATGAAGATCAGTCAAGTCACAAAAACCATCAAGCACTACGATAAAACTGGCTTTCATGAGGACCTCCACAGGAATGGAAGACCCAGAGTTACCTCTGCTGCAGAGGATAAGTTCATTAGAGTTACCAGCCTCAGACATTGGAGCCCAAATAAATGCTTCACAGAGTTCAACTAACAGACACATCTCAACATCAATTGTTCAGAGGAGGCTGTGTGAATCAGGCCTTCATGGTCGAATTGCTGCAAAGAAACCACTACTAAAGGACACCAATAAGAAGAAGAGACTTGCTTGGGCCAAGAAACACAAGCAATGGACATTAGACCCATTGAAATTTGTCCTTTGGTCTGGAGTCCAAATTTGCGATTTTTGGTTCCAACCGCTGTGTGGGTGAACGGATGATCTCCGCATGTGTATTTCCCACCGTAAAGCATGGAGGAGGAGGTGTTATGGTGTGGGGTTGCATTGCTGGTGACACTGTCCGTGATTGATTTAGAATTCAAGGCACACTTAACCAGCATGGCTACCACAGCATTCTGCCGCGATACGTCATCCAATCTGGTTTGGGCTTAGTGGGACTATCATTTGTTTTTCAACAGGACAATGACCCAACACACCTCCAGGCTGTGTAAGAGCTATTTTACCAAGAAGGAGAGTGATGGTGTGCTGCATCAGATGACCTGGCCTCTACAATCCCCCGACCTCAACCAAATTGAGATGGTTCGGGATGAGTCGGACCGCAGAGTGAAGGAAAAGCAGCCAACAAGTGCTCAGCATATGTGGGAACTCCTTCAAGACTGTTGGAAAAGCATTCCAGGTGAAGCCTGTTGAGAGAATGCCAAGAGTGTGCAAAGCTGTCATCAAGGCAAAGGGTGGCTATTTGAAGAATCTCAAATATAAAATATATTTTGATTTGTTTAACACTTTTTTGGTTACTACATGATTCCATATGTGTTATTTCATAGTTTTGATGTCTTCACTATTATTCTACAATGTAGAAAATAGTAAAAATAAAGAAAAACCCTTGAATGAGTAGGTGTTCTAAAACTTTTGACCGGTAGTGTATATATCATTTTGTTTTTTTGACAAGGAAATCAGCTCCAAGTGATTTTAAAATAAAAAATCTGTTCCCAAATCGAAACACATCTGATCGTATACAAATGTAAGTAAGGTTTGAAATGATTATGTTTTAGTCAAATATTATATCTGTTTGGGCTTCTTGCAGTCAATTTGCAGTCTACAAATTATTTGTAGACTGCCCCCCGGCCCCCCCGACCATCTGTAACACACAGGCAGACACACAGGGAACACAGGCGAGGACACAGCCTCGCCCAAACACATGGTCACTGGACTCTGTTACACACCACAGACCCTTTAACCCCATCGCCATGGTGAATTAAGGCCACTGACCTGTGTCCCTCCCTAGTTATACTCCACAACCTTAAATGATCCCTTATCCTTCATCTGGTTTGATCTGTATGGCCCACAAACATAGTATGTACTATACATGTGTAGCATGTGACATCATAGAAGCACAAAACACTCCCACTAATATCTATGCAGATGTTACGGCTGCTGCTAGTTGCTATGCTATTCCTAAAGCATCAGCTGACTTGCATGATGCTCTCTCCCTCCATCTTATTCTCTCTATTTCTATACGTGTCCTCTCGCTCTCTTCATTCCCTCTCCTCCTCCTCTCTCCTTCCTCCTCTCACACCGTCCTCTGGTACCATGCTAAATATAGCCGCAGCAGCACACTTCTTTCATTATCTCTCATTATGAAACCTAATTGGTGCACTCCATTGATTAGACTTCATGCCAGTGCTTTAACAAGGTGGACCTCTTATAAACCAGCACAGGATATAGCTGATGTGGGTGTACATATAGATATAGATGGCTCTGGGTCTATCCATCCATTCTATCCATTTAAAATCATATACTGGATATACCCAGTGGAGGTGAGATGTTCAGTTGAACCAGTTGGTTAAGTGGTCACCTGGACCAACCCCTTGCAGACACTTTTACAGTTCTCCTGGACTGAAGGTTCTCCACAACCTCTCTTGTCGTTGTTCCGCCTCCCTTCCTCGCTCACTCCCTCTCTCCCTCTCTGTCCATCATTCACATCAGGGCAGACAGTCCCTCCCCCGTCCCTCCTGCTGTCAACATCTGTTTTCATATTCTGCCTCCCAACACCGACCTGCACTAATACATACTCCTACTAATACTAATACTAGCTAGAGCCAAGCCAGTGAAGGATTATGGAGAGACAGGGAGGGCGGTAGGGAAGGGTGGAAGAGAGAGGAGAGATAGAAGAGATAGAGGAGAGAGAGAGATCGAAGATATATATCTCGCGCGCTATATCTCTCTATCATCCGCTCGAGACTCTCTCTCGCCATCTCCTCGCTCTCTCTATCCCTCTCTCTCTCTATCGCTCGAGCGAGAGAGAGATTCCGAGAGCGAGAGAGAGTGACCTGACCTGCAGCCAGTCTGTCGGTCGTCCCCTCTCTCCACTTGCTCCTCGCTGCTGCGGCCTTCATTCCCTCATGACCCATAAGCCCGCCCCTAGGAGACAAGGGATTAGCATTTACAAAACCATAGTAGCCCGTCCCATATCCAGGGAGTTATGTATGGTCAGGGAGTTATGGTTATGGAGAGGTTACATTCAGGAGGGATGTGGTTCAGAGGTTCTGGTCTGGGGTTTAGGGTCAGGATGCCTTGGTGTTATTGTGGTCTGATTAGGGTGTTGTGGTCAAGGAGTTGGGGTCAAGGGTTCGTGTAATGGGGTTACTACAACTTGGTTTAAAGTTAAGAGTGTTTGGAGCATGATTAAATGGGGTCCAATGTATCACTCTCACTCACAGATGCTTATGCAATACTGTAGCTACAGTACAGTAAATAAACAAAGCCTACTTTCTAGATATCCATAATATTATATAAGTTTGTAATTTTGGTGAATGATCTCTTTACTGCATTGCTACAGTGGGCGATTATTCAAATGTAGATGATACAATTTCCATCAGAGCATGATTTAAAAAATCTATTCACTGTTCCCATGTTTCATACAGTAATTTAGACATCTATTTATATGTCTTATGTATTTATCTGTTTCTCTATGTAAAGTGGATGCAGTAATGTAGATTGATGTGTTGTTATACTGCAGTAGGATTCTAATGTTAATGTAACGGTGCCTGTTCTCTACACTGCACTGCTGTTACCAGGGAGGGGGCTTCCAAAGCAGTTTCTTAGCAACCTTCAAATATGTCCTAGCTTCTCCTGATTTCACTAATGAGTTCATGCTCATTCAGGAGAGTGTAAAATATTGCATGAACATGCATGAACAGTGAACGACCACCAATACATCCCGATGGTTTTATTAAGCTGGGTTGTTATCTCTAGCACAGTGCTTTAACAGTATCACACATTCTGTAAAAAATTGTATAATGAGTTGTATACAAAACAATAGAATCATGTATTATGTTGATGTCATGGTGAAAGCTAGCCAATCATTTTTTGTTTATCCTGCTCAGAAATTGGGTTGCGTAGTTAATGATGAAAACAGATGTACTGTAGGATTAGTGTTATTGATGTGTTCAAACAATAGCCAAAAACAGAATCAGAATTGTTCCCAATATGTTTACTAATTTATTGTTGTAGATTCAGTATATTTATATTATTTTGAAATCCAAAATATAACATCAAAACTGTCTTCTAACTTGTTTCTGTTAATGATTCTTACAACATTGACTGCTGTCCAAAACATATCATACTGTATATTCCACTACAGCTCTAGTATTCACTTGTTCCTAAACCAAAGTAAGATTGTCACACCAAATACTCTAAAATATAAAAATATTTGTTATTATTTTTACAATGTTTCGGGGAGATCCAGACTGGGGTGGTCTGGAGGGAAATGACCCCAGAAAAAAAAGAAAGCAGAACAAGCTCTATTTTGGTGGCCTCTGTGTCACGGTTTCGGCCGAGGCTGCTCCTCCTCCTTGTTCGGGCAGGCTTCGGCGGTCGTCGTTCCCGGAGTACTAGCTGCCACCGTTGTATGTTTTCGATGTTTGTTTGGTTTTGTCTTATTGGTACACCTGTTTCTGTTTTGTGCTTATTATGTGTCCTATAAGTTCTCGTTGTTTGAGTCTTGTGTTGTGTGTAATTGTTCACCGGTCAGAGGTGCAGTGTTTGTTTCCTCCATTAGAGAGGAGAGAGTTTCCGCACTTGTTGTGCGCGCTATTTTGGCGAGTAGAGTTTTACGCGTTGTGTGCGTAATTTTCAAGTTTTGCCTTCCGGGCTCTTGTTGAGGCCCGTTAGTTTTTTTGTGTATTTACTAAAGTCTGTTGGATGAAGCCTCTGTTTCCTGCGCCTGATTCCTGCACCACATCCACATTTCACACTGACACTCTGGTACATTCGAATGCCTTGATTCCATCCTAAATACACAGATAAATTATTGAATACTTGAACAACTTTACCTCCCAGATTGGTAAAATTAGTTGTGGTATGGAGTAGAAAGACATGACTTTACAAATAAAATGGCTGAAAATGTATGAATTCTGTGTGTTGTTAGTTGTTTTGGACATTGTCAAGGCCTAGGCCTATATGATCAGGACTATTTTCTAAGTAAGATAACCTTTTTTAACATTAAACCTGTCTTCTCTTGAGATTAAAGTCATATTTACAGTTTTGCTTCTTCAAATTATGTATTTTAGTGGCTCTGCTGTCCACACACTTAGGGTACGGAAACCAATGTGTAATTTTGTAATTTGGGTGAACTATCCCTTTAACAGTTTGGCCTGTCAATTAATCATTGTGGGAGGGATTGTCAGGGGAGGGGGCAGGATGTTTGTGAGTCACAGAGTTGGTAGGGTTTCAGACCTGTCAGTCAATCATTGTGGGTGGGACGTTGAGGGAAGGCGGTAGATTAGTAATCTAGTCAGAAAAGCTAGTCTAGTCTGCTCTTTCAACGTATTAAGAAATAATATAGAATTGCAGGGAATTGGTTTAAAATGTTCCAAAAATTATATACAAAGTTAGGCATCCATGAATAGAACTATAGGTATGACTGTAGAATGAAGCAGCTGTTAAACATGGGCTTTGGTACACAGAAACCAGCAGTTACCTACTCCGTAGTCAACACTTTAATCAAATCAGTAGACCTATATCAATATATTTCATAATATAAGTATCATGCCAATTCAATTTTTTGAACCTTCAATCTGTTTTCTTTTATCATATTTTGGACCAGAATGAGGCTCTCTCTCCACTACCTATTGTTCCTGCAGTGAGGATTCAAAATCTTCATCTAATGTTTTCATAATTTATCTGCAGGTAATTGGCAAAAAGCGTTAGTAGCCTACCAGTAAGCAAATTAGGGAGCCAAATGAACAGCTCTCTCACCGATGCGATTTGGTTCCGTTCACTTAAAAGAAGGAACATTTTTTAAAAAGTCTACTTTATATTCATCATCTACAGCACCACCCCAACATCAACATATGTGAAAATGGAGCGTTTCTATGTTTTGTAGTAAAAGGGATAGAGGAAGATAAGTGTTTCCTGATCTTTCTTCTATTTCAAAGATATAGGACAGACACTTCAAAACCTTATTCCTTATGATAATTTTTTCGACTGTCTTTTTCAGCCATTTATGAACGTGTTATTCAATGTGTTTCTATGGGCTATAGTAGTAAAGGCCAAATTCAATATTTTATAAAATAAACTTTACATATATTTTTTTTATATACTTAAAGGGGTTCTAAAACTCAAAATCAAATAGCTAAATGATCCATGGTATCGTAAAACGGCTTAGACTTTTAGAGTGAATTAATGAAGTGGAAAAAGTAGCCGGCTGACAATGAGTATGTTGTCGGCCAGCACTTATGGAAAACACTGTAATCTGAATAAAAGACCTCCCTAACACTTTGTCTCTCTCTGTATAATAGTGTTCAGGGAGCCCTACACGGTGCGTGTGGCAGACCAGCGCTCCATGCGTGGCAACGTGGCCGTGTTCAAGTGCCTCATTCCCACCGCCGTGCAGGAGTACGTCAGCGTGGTGTCCTGGGAGAGAGACACCGTCTCCATCATCCCAGGTAGGACAACACGGGACAGAGATGGGACGGGAGGGGTCAGGGGACAGGGAGGGGCTGGAACGGGAGGACAGTGGTAAAAGAAGGAAGTGTTATGTTATTATTTGTCTGTAATGAAGTCCCCTCTGTAAGGGTTTTTGTGTGTGAGTTTGTGAATAAATGTGTCCATATGCCTGCAATTTACAATGCATACATAACAAAAGCAGTGATGAAGCTAAATGTGGTTGCTATTGTTTTTGAGTATCTGTGTGTGTGTGTGTGTTTGTTTGTTTGTTTGTTTGTTTGTGTGTTGTGTGTGTGTGTGTGTGTGTGTGTGTGTGTGTGTGTGTGTGTGTGTGTGTGTGTGTGTGTGTGTGTGTGTGTGTACACGTGTCCTTCTGTATGTCTTTGCACCTGACCTAACTCTAACTCCTGTCTGCTGTCTGCCTGCTCACTGTTCTGGATCACTGACTCACCCCTCCTCCAACTCTCTCCAGTCATCCCTCCCTCTTTCACTCTCCTCTCTATTCATCTTTCTCTCTCCTCTCTCCCTCTTCTATCTCCCCTCTCTTTCCTCCATCTCTTTCTCTCTCGTGCTCCTTTGCTCTCTTCCTACATCTTCCCTCTCTTTCCCTCTCTCTCCACCTTCACCACTCCCTCCCCAACCTTGTTTCTCTCCATCCATCGTTCTTTCTTTATCTATCCCTCCATCTAAATTGATTGACTCCATTGTTTGTTCTTTTCAATTTTTTCTTGTATTGTTATCCTAATTTAGATCCATTGTGACTTTTTTTGACATGCCAAAGAGCCTTTTACATTTTCCAACTTCTACGGTATGTCTCCTGTACTTTCCTTTCTATTGGGTATATTTCTACGTTCTCCCAATATCCCTCCCTGTTCCTCTGCTCTGTCCTTGAAGAATAGTGCTACAATTAGAGACGCTGGATGTCAATAGCATCATGCCCCCATATTCATCTTCACTAACCTCATTTGTGTGTTTGTGTGTGTGTGTGTGTGTGTGTGTGTGTGTGTGTGTGTGTGTGTGTGCGTGCGTGTGTGCACTGCGCACATGTTAGTGTGTTTATTTGTTGTTTTTGTTATATACACTACATGACCAAAAGTATGTGGACACCTGCTCGTCAAACATCTCATTCCAAAATCATGGGCATTAATATGAAGTTGCTCCCCCATTTGCTGCTATAACAGTCTCCAGTCTTCTGGGAAGGCTTTCCACTAGATGTTGTAACATTGCTGCGGGGACTTAATTTCATTCAGCCACAAGAGCATTAGTGAGGTCGGGCACTGATGTTGGGCGATTAGGCCTGACTCGCAGTCAGCGTTGCAATTCATCCCAAAGGTGTTCGATGGAGTTGAGGTCAGGGCTCTGTGCAGGCCAGTTAAGTTCTTCCACACCGATCTCGACAAAGTTATTGTGCTGACGTTGCTTCCAGAGGCAGTTTGGAACTCGGTAGTGAGTGTTGCTACCGAGGATAGACCATTTTTTACGCACTACGTGCTTCAGCACTCAGCGGTCCTGTTCTGTGAGCTTGTGTGGCCTACCACTTCGCGACTGAGATGTTGTTGCTCCTAGATGTTTCCACTTCACAATAACAGCACTTACAGTTGACCGGGAAGCTCTAGCAGGGCAGAAATGTGACTAATTGACTTGTTGGAAAGGTGGCATCCTATGACCGTGCCACGTTGAAAGTCACTGAGCTCTTCAGTAAGGCCATTCTACTGCCAATGTTTGTCTATGGAGATTGCATGGCTGTGTGCTCGATTTTACACACCAGTCAGCAACGGGTGTGGCTGAAATAGCTGAATCAACTAATTCTTGTATATATAGTGTGTATACATATATATGTCTATATTTGTGTGTTTAGGTGAATTTATAACATCAATACTGTATTATATATCCTTAGTTATCATGGATATTACGACAGATAACAATAAACGTCTTCAATGCTGTGATGTGAAGTGAAACTCTGACAATAACAAAGTGGAAGGTGGAGAGGGAGAGAACAGAGAGGAGAGAACAGAGAGGAGAGAAACAGAGAGGAGAGAAGAGAGGAGAGAACAGAGAGGAGAGAACAGAGAGGAGAGAACAGAGAGGAGAGAAACAGAGAGGACGAGAAAAGATACAGGAGAGAACAGAGAGAGAGAAATAGGGAGAGAACAGAGAGAGAGACCATAGAGAGGGAAGAAAGACTATTGGAACCATCTCTGAGACCCCTTAGAGAGAGTACCCGACCCGGAGCTTGACTAACACGAGAGGCTCTGATCGATCAGTAGACTTACTAGCAGGGTACACGGATCGAAACGACTAGCCGACCTGATGGATACTGAGAACTCGAACTCGAGTTTCCTAGAACCAACAGCTCGATGAAACAGGACAGAGCAACCAGACGACGATGAACTCAGAAGGACGGTACTACACCTGACCTGAGTCTCTCCGCCGATGGTCTCCCGACAGTATGACAACGAGGTACTCGAGACACGACCTGACGCTAGAGCCTGCAGTAGAGACCCATCATAAGAGACACCCGCACAGCGCAGGGTAGTGGGGCAAGAGAACAGCCTCAGGACCTGGCAGATGGCGTTCTATAACATGCAAACACACACACACACACACACAATCGGCGCCACACACACCACACACACACACCCACACACCACACCACAACCCACACCACACACACACACCACACACACACAAACACATAGACATGGTAAAACATTTTTATTATCAGCATGGTTTTACAGTATCTATTTCTATTAACTCTAATACATTGCATATTACACAACATTTAAGTGTGATTCCATGTACAGTTTTTCTGTTGTGCAGTGAGTTTGTTGTTGTGTTGTTGTTGTTGTTGTTGTTGTGTGTATTTTACTGTGCTGTGGCTGCTACTGTGTGTAACAAGGGATATAAAGGTCAGCTGATGAGCACAGCGAGTGAGGATCAGATGGTGAACATGGTGAACTGCTCACTGAACTCAGTCAGCTAAACACACAAATCACAGTTAAATAACACCAACACGTCACAGTTAAATAACACCACACAGCACAGTTAAATAACACCACACAGCACAGTTAAATAACACCACACATCACAGTTAAATAACACCACACATCACAGTTAAATAACACCACACATCACAGTTAAATAACACCACACAGCACAGTTAAATAACACCACACATCACAGTTAAATAACACCACACATCACAGTTAAATAACACCACACATCACAGTTAAATAACACCACACACACAGTTAAATAACACCACACATCACAGTTAAATAACAACCACACAAGACCCAAAGTTTCAACCTACTACCCATCAACATTAAACAGATTTTTAATAAATAATGACAGCAAAAGGAAACAAAAAATTTTAAAAAACATTTACATAAGTATTCACACCCCTGAGTCAGTACTTTGTAGAAGCAACTTCGGCTGTGATTACAGCTGTGAGTCTTTCTGGGTAAGTCTCTAAGAGCTTTCCACACCTGGATTGTGAAACATTTGCCCATTATTCTTTTCAAAATTCTTCAAGCTCTGTCAAATTGGTTGTTGATCATTGATAGACTACCATTTTCAGGTCTTGCCATAGATTTTCAGGTAGATTTAAGTCAAAGCTGTAACTCGGCCACTTAGGAACATTCACTTTCTTCTTGGTAAGCAACTCCAGTGTAGATTTGGCCTTGTTTTTTAGGTTATGGTCCTGCTGAAAGGTGAATTAATCTCCCAGTGTCTAGTGGAAAGCAGACTAAACCAGGTTTTCCTCTAGGATTTTGCCTGTGCTTAGCTCCATTCTGTTTATTTTTTATCCTGAAAAACTCCCCAGTCCTTAATGATTACAAGCATACCCATACCATGATGCAGCCACCACTATGCTTGAAAATATGGAGAGTGGTACTCTGTAATGTGTTGTATTGGATTTGCCCCAAGCATAACACTTTGTATTTAGGACAAACAGTTAATTGCTTTGCCACATTATTTTGCAGTATTACTTTAGTGCCTTGTTGCAGACATAATGCATTTTATTCTGTACAGGCTTCCTTCTTTTCACTCTGTCAATTAGGTTAGTATAGTGGAGTAACTACAATGTTCTTGAGCCATCCCCAGTTTCTCCTATCACAGCCAATAAATTATGTAACTGTTTTAAAGTCACCATTGGCCTCATGGTGAAATCCCTGAGCGTTTCTTTCCTCTTTGGCAACTGAGTTAGGAAGTACGCCTGTATCTTTGTAGTGACTGGGTGTATTGAAACACCAGCAAAAGTGTAATTAATAACTTCACCATGCTCAAAGGGACATTCAATGTCTGCTTTTCTTTTTACCCATCTACCAATAGGTGCCCTTCTTTGCGAGGCATTGGAAAACCTCCCTGGTCTTTGTGGTTGAATCTGTGTTTGAAATTCACTGCTCGACTGAGGGACCTCACAGATAATTGTATGTGTGGGGTACAGAGATGAGGTAGTCATTCTGAAATCATGTTAAACACTATTATTGCACACAGAGTGAGTCCAAGCAACTTATTATGTGACTTGTTAAGCACATTTTTACTCCTGAACTTATTTAGGCTTGCCATAACAAAGGGGTTGAATACTTATTGACTCAAGACATTTCAGCTTTACATTTTTTATTAATTTGCAAACATTTCAAAAAATGTTATTCCACTTTGACATTATGGGGTGTTGTGACAAAACATCTCAACGTAATCCATTCTAAATTCAGGCTGTAACACAACAAAATGTGGAAAAGGTCAAAGGGTATGAATACTTTCTGAAGGCACTGTACTACACAGCACAGCACAGTATACAGTATACAGTATTGTACACAGCAGCACAGTACACATTATACACAATACAGAGCTCAGTGCAATACAGTTAAATGCACTACACAGCACAGAATACCCACTAGTGTTTCTAGCGCAGCACTAACACAAATGATTCACACCTACTAATCATCTAGCCCCTTATTAGCTGAATCGGTATGAATAGGTATGTAAGAATGGGCTGGGACAAAAATGTGTACCCTTCTGTATCACCATGCGGGACCAGGTTTGAATATCACTGCACTCCAGGACAGT